TCTCACCGCCATCTCCCCCCTCCCCTGTCCGAGCGACCCCACCTCCCCCCGGCTCTCCAGCACCCTACAACCTCGGAGCGGCACTAGGGAAGAAAAAGGGTTCTTCCCTGCACGACGTGACCGCCTCCATTCCCCGTCCTTCTCCTCTCCCTCTCCCGTCTCAGGGTTCCCTCTCACCTATTCCCTTGTCCTCCAACCCCCATCCCCCTCGAACTCCTATAGCCCCCCGAGCCCTGCCCTACAAACTAAGCTTAAAGCGCTCTTAGGCAATAATTTCCACCGCTTCGGCGCACCGCAGTGCGCCTTCTGAAACCGACAGGATCGGGTGGTCGGGTCCCACCCTGTCCCAGCCTCTCCGCGGGGTGCCCAGCGCCGTGAAGGAGCGCAGACGCGCCCAGAAGTCCACCACTGCCCGGGCGCAGGCCCGCTCCAAGGGGGTTGCTGCGGGTGCTGCTGCCGCCGCGCCTGCCGTTGCTGCTACCGCCCCTGTCGCCGTGTTCCTCTCCTGTGTTTGGTCCTCATCCCCCGGCGCATTCAGTGCAGGCCCCGTCTGCGGTCCCGCCCCGTCGGCCTGGATGAAAAAGTCCGTTATCCGCCTCTGCCTGGGGCCGGGTACCTGCACCTGTTGCGCGTGCTCCCGGTTCTGTGGTCCTTGGCTCCCAGCTCGTTCCTGCTTCCTGCCCGCTGCCCTCAGGCAGCATCTGCCAACCTCCATAGCAGACAGGGCCGACAGGGCGATTATATCCCATACGGCCTGTTCGCATCCGGTTGGGGCCAGTAATAGCCAGAGTTGCTTTCGGGTGACTCCCCCTACCGCGGCTCCCTGAGAAGACTGTAGATGCCGGTCGATCTGTGCCCGCACCGCCTGCGCCACCGGGCATTCCCAAAAGTGATGCATGCGTGGCGAGCATGGCTGACCAGCTGCTCCACCGAATCCGCCACATCCACAGCGTTCTTCAGTCATGCGGGCTAGGTGCGTGTTGCCCGGTAGGGGGACGCCATCCACTGCAAGCCGCCATAACGTCTCCTTATTCTCATTCTCCCATCGTACCCCGGACCATACGCGGGCCTGCGTCGCCCTGAATAGGCTGATGTATGTATGTATGTATGTTGTTACATGGTGGTTAACTTCGCCAGCGGCCCCCTTTCCCGAGGCAGTCCCTGCTCTCCCCTGCTAGAGGGGCACCCTAATCCGTCACCCCATTCGACTTCAGAATGTATCCGTTGGGTTCGGCAACTCACCACCAGCATCCAACCAAATCTAGCGGATCAACGGCGCCTCAACTTAGTTCCTGGTCAGCTCGCAAGTTGAAATTATCACGTCCTACCTCGTCCGTATGATGGGGGCCCACATCCCATTTCAACACTCCTCAAACACCCGAGGAGCTGGCAGGCGGATTTGAACCCGGGTCGGCCGGGAGCAGAAGTCAGGCCTTAACCTCTGCCAGCCGCCTGCCTATGTATGTGTGTAGATTGAGGCTCTGGAAGCCGAGCGGAGGTCAACGGAGGCGCGGGTCGAGATGGAGGCGGCGGAGAAGCGGCGAGTGCAGGAGAGGTTGGCGGCGGAAGCGGCGGCGAAGGCGGCGGCGCAGCAGCGGTTAGAGGCGGAGCGGGTGGCGGCGAAGGCGGCGAGGGCGGAGGCGGAGGCGCTGCGGAACCGGGCTGAGGCGGTGGAGGCGGAGCGGCTGAGACTCAAGGTATGTGTCGCGTTGTTCCTAACCTTAGAAGGAAAATCCTTCTCATATCATTTCTAATTAGAAGTAAATTAGAATATGAGAATGAGAATGAGAATGAGAATTACTTTGCTATCTTTTCACCCAGCGCGAATAATTAACTGAAAATTTGCGGGCATGGCGGCTCATGGTTATCCAGCCGTTTCCAATTTTTTTAGGCCGAAAGTCGATGGCGGGGGTCGTAACCCAGAAGGTGTACCTCTTGGCCATATATACCCCCCTTAGAATGCAAAGCCAACCTTGCCAAGTGTTGTTATTTCCAGCCAGTTGCCAGACGGATACAGACACCAGTACGCTGAATTCAAACCCAACAATCTGCGTCAGGAACCTCAATAGAACGAGAGTCCCAAGTACTCAGGGGTACGCAACGGCCCTCAGGCCCGAACGGAGGTCGTAGGCAAGCTCTTTGTAGGCGTTGTCAAGCATGGTGGTGGCAAGTTTCTTGCGGCCAGGGAGGAGGACGCCCATTGCCGCGCAAGCAGCAACCAGGTTCGGGTGCTCAATCAGGTGCAAAGCTATGTTGCACTTAAAGAAAAAAAGAGCAAGATTCCAGAGGAACCGGGCGATGGCAACAGAAGAGGGGTAGAAGCTGCGAACGTCTGAACCGGTAGTGCGAGGGCGCTTGTTGACAGAGGCGTCGAGGGGAGTGGAAGGGGTGGCGGTGGAGGGGCCGGGAGGAGCGGCGGGGCCGGCAAAGGGGCCGGGAGGAGCGGAGGGGCCGGCAAAGGGGCCGGGAGGAGCGGAGGGGCCGGCAAAGGGGCCGGGAGGAGCGGAGGGGCCGGCAAAGGGGCCGGGAGGAGCGGAGGGGCCAGCGGACGGATCGTTGGAGGGAGCAGCAGGGGGGGGAGCGGCGGAGGGGATGGTGGAAGGCCCTGGCTGCGGGCTGGGCGAGGGAGGCATTCTGGAGCCTCCTGCAGCCGCCTCCATCAGCTTCTTATCGCATGCTCTTGACGTGCTGAGAGCAAACTTGTGACGGATTCTTAGCGCTCAGGACCTCGTTGCAGCGGACGCATTGTAGCCACACAGCACCAGTTGTCAGCAGGACGTTGAAACGGACCCGCCACGACGCGCGCTGCTTTGCTTGCCTTAGCTTCTTTGAGACCATTAGCGTAGGCAGGGGCGTCTAAATTCTTGTCACCATACTTGTAAACTTCAATGTTGTCGGGCTGATGGTCAGGTTGCTTTGTGCCAGGCTTGTCCGCTTGATCTGCCATAGCTGACCCAGAGTAACATCTCTAGGTAAGGTACTAATATGCAAGTATTATAATGCACACAGCCTCTATTTCTGGCGATTCTAATGCAGGATCCAGGCTGTCGTACAGCTTTCTCATTCTAATCCCAGAAGCAGGCCCTTCTCATTTATAGGGTGATTTCTCATTAGAATTATTCTACGTTAGAATTCGATTTCTAATGGTCGGCACAACCCTAGGTATGTGCCGTACTGTACGATGTACGATGTGTGTATGGTAATACATCCGAGTCCTAATAATGGTTTGTGGGACTTGTTGTTATTATGTAATTGTGGTCCCAGAAGTGAAATCTGATTTCAAAAAATGTTTTTGATGCCCAACGGCTGATGAGCCGATGATGGTCCAACACCCGATGTGCATGTATGTATATATGTGTGTGTGTGTCGTACACAGCATGTTACAACGCATACTTCTGTGCATAAATCCGCAAATGTTGATATGTATGGCAGTGTTTTGTATGATGTGTGGGACAGGAGTTCATATCTTCACCCTGCGGCAGCTACCCTGCGAAACCCTGCCTTCCCCGGTATTTCGGGGCACCCTCATCCAGTCACCCTAGTCAACTTCTCAGTGGATCGCTCAGGTTCCGCACCCACCACCAGCATCCAACGGAATCTGCCGGGTCGACAGCGGCCCAACTCCGTTCCTGGTCGGCTCGCAGGTTAACTTTATCCCAGGTCACCACCGTCCATCAACTAGGGGCGCAATACCTTCCACCATCGGAAGGATTTTTGACCCTAGCGGGTATCGATCCCGGGATCTCCCGGGGGCAATGGTCGCGCGTTACCAGTAGTGCCAAACCCTAGTGATATGTATGTATGTATGTCGCTGCTGATGCCCTACGAGCGGGGGATCCTCAG